TATTAAAAAGCCTGTCTTTCAAGATCCAAGAATTAAGAAACTTCCTGGACCCCCAGCAAGGCGTCAAATTCAAATTTTACCTGTACCCAGTGGAAATCTCAAGCAGGTGGCCTCAGATCCCACACAGGTATCCTGACTAATTTAAATCACACTTTGCGCGGCTATTCCAACAAGAATGTAATTGTTCAGTATTTTTATTTTTTTAGGAGTAACATGTTTATGAATTTAATTTTTAAATCAGTAGTTATATGTCAAAGCCCCGTGCTTGTGCCCCCTTTACAATATGTGGATCTGCGCCCAATATGTGGAGTACGCGTACGGAATACGCTGTATGTGATATGTTATTTACGTTCAAGACACCGATAACGTGTTATTGTCCAAATTTATTTATTTCCCGAGAAAGTACTTTTTTCTTTAAATTAAATGTTTTATGTGCACTAACAATTCCTTAAACAACATGTATCATATAATATATTTTATACAGTGACGTCATAACTTACTTTGACAGATTTTTTTCTTATTTAAAGATCATGCGCTCATTAACGTACCTATATCAAAATGCAATTCCTTTACATTTTCTTAGTTCTTGGTTCTCTTCAGTTTCTGCTTTTTATTTGTTGTGGGAAAATGGTGCAACTGGAATTAAACAATCTCTTGGGAAAGTGGGCAAATCATTATTTTAGGAAAAGTTGGGGGAGACACCCCCCCCCTTTCAATACCACGTGCGTGTGCACACTTGTACAATATAGAGTGGTGTTAATCATACAAATAAGAACGAAATGTGATTATCGAGTACTATTAATCAAGACTACAAAAATTATTTATATTATTCACTTTTTGACACGTTCCCTTACGTGAAAAGTCCGCTGTCTGAAGTCAACTGTCGGATGTCTGAGATTCCGAAAATGTTCACTAATGATAACTACAAAATTTAATTGACTTGACATTAACAATGTAAAAAGCTTGCATATAAAACATTTTATGAAACATAAAATTTCATTTATGTCTGAAAGGTATTGATAGACAAGCAATTCATTTGAAAATCAAAGTATACTAAGATTTATTCAGTATAATAATCTTGGATTACCAATTAAAATATATGTATGTGCATAGCTTTATCAATACGTTAAGTCTACATATATACTACAAATAATAAAAGCAGTAGATTTTCCCTATTATTTGTAAAGAATACCACAGACTACATAATTTTCACTCAAGTCCTTCTTTTTATTTATACTCCCCCCCCCCCCCCCCCCAGTTTTCTTCAGTGTTCTAATAATGAGACTAATATTGATGAAAATATTGTTTGATGTCCCTTGGTTACCCACATATTATCACAGTTTTATTTCAGTGGGACTAAAAAAAGTGTAAATATTGTTAAAAGTATCTAATAAAACTCTGATCAATCTTGCATTATACCTGTTACATGTAAAAACCGCGATCATATTAAGTTCTTAAATATTCACTGAAGAGATCCTTAATTTCGAAATGAAAGAGAGAATGCTTTATGAGCCTTGTATTTTTTAGTATTGCATGATTTTAAAATCGACCTACTCTAAATTGTCTGTGAAACCAATGCTTCTTTTTTAAATGTCTAATTTGCAGTTCATAAAACTTTTAAATTCTATTGCATATTATACTTAAAGCAGAATACAAAATAACTTGCTTGGAACTAAAAATCAGAAGAAAATGTATGTTAACGTTGGTTGTAGTGCTCACCAGATGTATATACGCCTTAATTGTAATGCTCTTAGAAGAAAAGGTAAAATACTGTAAAATGTGTATTTTTACGAGGTAAAATTTTTATGCAACAAATCTTTCGAGTGGTTTTTTTTTTTTTTGCGGAAATAAAGAATTCACAAAACGATATTATTCAAAGTAAAGTTCTATTTCTCATTTCAAAACTATTCGAATAGTACAAAGAACAAGGTACGGCTTCAATATAAATCTAGCATTGTACTTTTCAAAAAATGAAATTATTGTGAGAAATTAAACTTTATGCTATCTGAATAGTTTAAATTCCTTGCAGTAAGATCATACAAATCGTTTTCCCAAAAAACCTCCTAGATGCCAATAATAAACATCTGCATTTTCTTTTAAAAAATGTGAACATTGGTCCCCCACGAACGATGTTGATTGCACAGTATACTTATATATATAAATGAGAGCTGTTCAAATACATTAATTTTTTTTACCTTGTTCCTTTTTCTACCTTTACATCACTTTTCTTAAATTTGTGTAAAGATATTTTAATCAAACTTCGTATGCTGATACATATAGATGAATGCTATTAAATTCCATCAACATGTTTTGACAATGACCTTCCTTTGACCTTGACCTTACTTTTCTTAACTTTGTGTTTAGCTCAATTTCAAAGAAACTTAAGATATTTTTATCCAAACTTATATGCTTATACATATTGATGAGATGTGTTCAACTTCGACTTTTTAAGTTGTTTTTTCTTTGACTTTGACCTCACTTTTCTTAAATTTGTGTTTAGCTAAGTTTCAAAGAAACTGTTATAGATATTGGTATCAAACTTCATCTGCTGATACAAATTGGTGAGAACTATTCAATTGCAACCAACATTTTTTGACCTTGACATTTCCGTTGACCTTGACTAATACTTTTCTTAAATAAGTAACAATCTTTTCTTAAATAAGTAACAATCTCAATTTTAAAGACATTTAAGATATATTTATCAAACCTTTATATGCTTAACCATATTAACTGCATCAATTTTTTTTTACTTGAGATTGACTTTGACCTTACTTTTCATAAATCTGTGTTAGGTAAGTTTCAAACAAACTATTCAAGATATCTTTATCTAACTTCATATGTTAAGACATACAGATGAGAGCTATTCAATTGCATCAACATTTTTTGATCTTAACCTTTCGTTTGACATTGGCCTGACTTTCGTCGAATTTGAGTTTCAAAGAAACTATTCTTGGAACTTTTATGTAAACGTAAGCAATGATACATTATTTGGTGAGTTTTCCTCTCTCATGAACTTGAAGCGTGATCAACTCCACATATAATGTAGTACAGGGAACGGGGTGGATATACTTGTTTTCTAATTCCAACACAGATTGCTGTATCCAGTAATTTAGAGAATTGCTGATCATCTCGGTCAAAAGTGTCCATTTTTCCGTGCGAAACGCCACTCCTTGAACGTTTAAATTGCCCATTTGGTATTTTTACGAGTGTTAGGATTTTTTTAAGAGTCTATCACTCAACTCAGGCTCCATCATGTTTAAAATATCTCTTATATCGAAACCCTTAATATGTTAAATTTTTAGTTCCGGTAGATCAAACGTCATACTTCCCAAAGAATCTTCTACCGGTATTTGGTTTCCTAACTGACCTAAGGAATTTTCAATCATAATTTCGATTGCCACTGTGTCTTAGAATTGTGATAGCATAAAATCACAACCGTCATCCATGGCGTTAAGACTTGAATTGACAAGGTAAAAAGCTCAAGAAATTCAACGCGCTATCCTTTTCAAATTACGTGCTCTATTTTCATTGGTCATATAAAATGGTATGGTGAAATTTTGATAGATCATTGCTAACTCAGTGCATGGGAATATAGTTGAATCACGTGCTATAAACGTGAAATTGACAGATCATGGGTAACTCAGTACCTGAGAACAATGATACAAAACATATAGAGTACCTTTTAACTCGTGTGCATCTTCAGATATCAGACTTGGGAGACAAGCCCCAACGTCTTATATCTGAAGATACACGAGTTAAAAGGTACTCTATATATTACTTATCACCTGCATATGGGGTTTTTGTCTCCAAGTTTATTAGATATGAAAGAGCATGCTCTACGTATGAACAATTTCTAAAACGAGGCAAGCTATTGACAAACACGTTGATGAAACAAGGATATCAACATTCTCGATTGAAGTCATCATTTCGCAGGTTCTATGGTCGATATAATGACCTTGTCAGCAAATGCAACCTATCATTAAGTCAAATGTTGACTGGCGTTTTACATACTAATTGCTAGGCCATTATTTACACACTGAATTGTCTACGGATTTTTCTGTTTTTCCCGATCAAGACGAGGAGCATACAAGGGTGTGTCCGGTCGGCAGGGGATGCTCATTCCTCCATGGCGCCTGATCCCACCTCTGATATGTTTGGAGGTCCGTGTTTGCTCTGATCCCGATTTGTATTGTCTAATTGGGACTTTGAGCTTGAATACTGTTCGTTATCTCCATATTTCTTGAAATAGCACTCAAGACAAGTCTATACGATTTACACATCAATTACATTCACAATAGTACACAAAAATAAGGGATAGGCACTTGTGTAATTTACCAACCGGAAACAATATGTATTGATGTGCAATGACAATATGCTCGGTCACACCTTTATACTATCTAAACATAAAGGACTCGGTTGAAATGTAAAGTGCAAGAAATTAATCTATCTGGAGCAGGTCTTCCGTCTAATGAAGAAAAAAAAATGCAAATTAGTATGTAAAAAAGGAAACTGGTTTGAAAACAATCAATTTATAATTATATGACACATCTTCGGGAACTTTTACCATTCAATTGCAAGGAGATATTTGTAAAAAAGAAGCCACTGGTTACTATTTCAAGTGTGACCAGAAGTGACGTCGACCGAAAAATAAGGTCGAGTCCAATGACTCAAATCATTGACCCCGGGCTTCCATCGGGGAAAAAAGGCTTGCTCTAGGGGAACTGGCTACCTCGTTGAAATACTTTGTTTGAATATACCGATAAAATTTGTTATTCCGTTTTATATGCAGAAAGAAATAAATAAATGAAACATGCTGATTAAGAATTACTTTAGTTAAATGGTAAACTGTCACATTAAAATTCTTACTATAAAACATGTGGATCTTTAGTGAGGACTTTCATAAAAGTCTTTAAAAAGCTTACACATTTACTTAACTATTCTATAAATAAAGGAAACATTACCTCAAAGTTTGATAGGAAAAAAGGAAAAAGGAAAGCAAATCATTGAAGAACTTACTTCATTGAATTGTCAAATTGATAAACATTCAAACCTAACATTATATTTTGAGTTGATCATACGTTTCAACTGAGATTCTGCCTTTAGTGAGCAAAAACAGCAAATGCTGATACATCAAAAATTATATTCGTTGCATTTGGTTATCAGTTTTTTAAGAAAGTATAAAGATGAATCTGAAAATGCTCAGAAGCCGTTAAAGGTTTGACTTGATTGTATATTATTAATGAACAATAATTTAAACGAGTTGCATGAATATTCTTTTTCAATAGGAAAAGGGTGTATTTAAAAAAAAAGAACCGACAGTTTCACATGGTCACCTGTGTCAGGATAGAGTTAAAATTATGCAGAAAAGATATAAAAAACGCACTTTCTCTCAAAAATGCTTTTAAATTGTTTGAAAGACTTTTTTCATATTCGACTTTTGATATATACGAGTCAAGTCAAGCAATTTTTATTTATACTCGGCAGATATATACATTATAACAAATAAATACAAATTTGGATAGCTCTTTATCCGACTTAAACGACTTATATATATATAAGAAACTAACAGCACAAGTTTGTTTATGCCTACTTAAAACAAAGCACAAACAAGTACATTAATAGAAAAAGCTGAGATAAACACATATGATTAGTACGAATAAGGACCATCATAAAACAAGAAAGAGAAAAATATGATTTTACACAGTTGCACTAACAACAAAATTTATACTATTATAACATAATAAAATATACGGAAGAGGACTTATATTTGATCATATTTATAAACATTTCAATTCTGTAGTTTTTTGATTCCAGCGGTGTAGCAAAGTCTCTGTTCACTGTTCTTGATTAGCTGTAACAAAGGCTGTTAATGATCAACATTAATTGAGAATGCTGAGAAATTGAGAAACCAAAGGCAAAGTATTCAAAATCGTTAAAAGTTTTTTTTAATGGAAGAGAGAGAGAGAGAGAGAGAGAGAGAGAGAGAGAGAGAGAGAAAGAGAGAGAATATTTTGTAAACCCTGAGTAACATCGGCCAGGTTTAATTAGAACAATAGTATCTCAGTTAACAATTTTTGGTTTCTTTCCGAAATCTATTAAGATGTGTTACATGTCATTTCAATTCCTTGGGTTTCTTGTCTGTAACTGTGTATATGCATGCACCAACAGCAATTCTTTAACAGTTCAACATTCATAAAGATTTATAAATCTTTAATCATTTTACGGATGTCTTCAACACTATCAATTCCTCGAATCATATCGGCCGCTTTTTCTGCTATCATGATGGTAGGAGCATTTGTGTTTCCAGAAGTAACATGGCGCATTACAGACGCATCGACCACACGAAGATTCTGTATACCCTTTACTCTGCAAATGTTAATTGCTGTTGTGTTATTGATACTTACAAATGGAAATATAAATGCAATATCTATATCTATCTATCTATCTATCTATCTATCTATCTATCTATCTATCTATCTATACACACTCACACCCTCACACACACACACACACACACACAATATATATATATATATATATATATATATATATATATATATATATATATATATATATATATATATATATATATATATATATATATATATATATATATATATATATATATATATATATATTGTTTTTCACTTGTACAAAAACATTACGAAATAGTGCTAAATTACAATTCAAATGACGAATTTTAGATTGAATTTCATATACATCATATTGAAATTTTGCTAGATATTAATTATATTCTTGAATTATATTCATTTATGTGAAACCTCTTAAACTCACTCCTTTACAGACATTTTTCCTCATTAAAACGGTGCTCTTAAAATCTTCAATTTTCAAATTCTTTGTTTTTCTACTCAAAGCAAAATAATGTGTTTTTGTATAATTAAAAAGTGGAATCGAATTGGAAACCTGAGTCGTGGATCAACAACAGCTGTGTCATCATTATGAGCTCCCATTCTACATGTAGAGGTCGGATGCCAGAGACCGAACGAATAATACTTGATTCTACAGACCCAGTACTCCTCTGAGGGGTATTGAAGTTCGTTACAAGGAGGATAGTACTCTTTAGAGGGATCTGATGGTGATGCACCAATGGATCTGAATGCTGTTGTGTTCGCTAATTTCATAACCTGATGCACTCCTAAATCATAAAAATAGTTAAATACTAGGGATGTCAAATCGGTCAATTTTTGATAATCGGTTACTCGGACGTTTTTCCGATCGAGTACCCGGGTACTCGGTAAAAATGAAAATACAAGACAGTGTGTTAATTTTCTTGAGCCCGGTAAAGCTCTATTAAATCCCAAAGCTGTTTTATCACGTTTATAAATGTATATAAACAACTGAGTCAAAGGGAAATGATTTGGTACCAAATTTATTTATCAAATAAACTCAAAAGACACAATTAATACATAAAAAAAAAAATAAAAATGGTTTACAGTTCTTGTTTAGGACCTATTTCATCAACGCGAAGGGACAATCTGTTAGACAATCTGTTAGACAGATTTGTGATGTTAGACAAACGAAAGAGAAGGAAAAGACGTTGTTGGGATCGCTAATCCAATTATTTCATAATTTGGTTGTTTCCCACTAAACCTACTACGCAAACTGACTTTCAATTTTTTTAAAAATCTTTAGTTATTTCTAAATATTTCTTCACTTTTGAAGTGGGTAGCGGTATTTCTATGCATGTCCGATTTCGCTACCGTATATTAATTGAATAATTTAAAAACGATTTGACTATAATAGACCATACTTAAACGATGTTTGCTGAAAACAATCATTGAAGCCATCCAAAAATTAAGGACCACAATAGGTGAGAACTGCTGTGTACCAGATGATTGGTCATTACTGTGGAATCATCATTGTTCGTGGGGGATCAATGTTCGTGGATTTCGTGGGTCAACCTAAACCACGAATTTACATCCTCACGAACAATTTTTTTTTGGTCAGCGTACTGATTAATTAAATCTACCAAATAAATGAGCTGCCCACGAAATTACATCCCCACGAAACAATGAAATTTTGCTTGCCCACGAACATTGACCCCCACGAATTTAAATGATTCCACAGTAATTTCTGTATATGCACAGCCACAGGCGATAACGGGTGTTTTACAGATGTAGATGACGACACGCTAATTACCGTATGAATATTTAAATAATTTTTTGATAAGTTTTTGATAAAAATATGTACTTTGAAATAAGAAAAAAATATACTTCCGAGTAACCGAGTACCATTTTTAGTATTCGATGCTCGGACGTTCGATCGAGTACCCGGTTAACCGGGTACTCGTTGACATCCCTATTAAATACAATAGTATCTGCTTTAAAATAAGTTATTTTAATTTACTACAGTTAGTTTTCAAATACATACTGTCTTTCAAAATAACAATAAGTAAAGAAAGCCCAAAAGTCCACTAAAACAGAATATATTATGAGTAGAGCCGATTCGGGACTCTTACAATATCGGAGGTCGGAACAGGTGCCATGAAGGAGTAGGCATCCCCTATCGACCGGTCACACCCGCGCCGTGCATTCCTTGCAATTAGCAGGTAAAAGGAAAAATCCGTAGACAATTTAATGGGAAAATAATGTCCTAAAACTTGTGTGAAAAAAGTCATTCAAACTTCAACCTAATGATCCATAGATGGTATTTGCTAACAAGGTCATTAAATCGAACATAATTTACTAAATGTTGGTTTTAAACAAGATCACCGATATCCCTGTATCATCAAAACATTTAGAAAACAGAGACAGGTTACTGATAAAAAGTAGACGTCACAGGACTTTCTACAATCTCGTTTAATTCACAGTTTTGGGAATTCAATTGTCGTAGTATTAGCCTGCCTCCGATTAAAATTGATTATGTCAGAACATACTCTTGCGTACCAAATCAGTTAAGAGACTTAGACACAATATGCAGTAGATAATGGAATAGTATTACTAACTGCTTAATTTATTTTCATACATCGTATATGAAGAAAACAATTGCCATAAAGATTACAAATTTACCTTTCAGCAACATCTTTATGTCATCTGGATGATCTAAGTAGTTGGGATCTATTAGTGGTGGATCAAAAGGATCGCTGCTCTGTAGTCGAATGGTTCCTCTACTCTTGGGATGGAGAAGTATACTTGCTGCGATGAAGCTCCCTCCGTTATTACTGGTGAAGTCTTCATATGCTTTATACACACCTTCTGTAATCTTAAAGATTTTAAAATTGGTAACATTATGAATTTGACATATGAGAAATCACTATATTTTGAGAGTACGGAAAGCCTGTTTTAATTAGTATTGTGAAAGCCATCAAAGTTTAAAAAAATTACTTTCATTTTCAACCTTATCTAAACCACAAGCAATATCGAAATTTTCTTAAAATGTCGATAGTAATAGGTAAAAAAGCACATATTTCTGTCTTAGCGCCGTCCGCAAGTTTATGGCTAATAGGCCTCATAATAAACGATATTTAAGCGCATAAAAAGACAACTAATAATTTTTGATAAATGTTGACTGCAAGTTAAAATTATATGAAAGAATTTAACCTTTGGATCCCAGTTTAGCATTTTTGTAAAGTCATAGGCAACAGAAGGTACCGACAGCACACTGTAGAACGTTATTTGCATGTATGGAAGCAAGGTGTCATCATCTTTCAGAAAAACGCTAGACTCTAAGTGTGACTTAGACAAAGGACCTGTAAAATTTACAATATTAACTGATTCTTTAATTAACTGCTTGAGAAAAACAGTACATGAATTATAAAAAAAAATTTAATGCATGAAAATAACAGAACTAAAAATGCCTTAAAAGTTATATTGATTTGTTTCTCACAAGATAATTTCTAGGGATATTACTTTGAGTTTCAAACTGTTTTAAGGTTTAATGATGTTTTATTGATTTAAGTTTAATGATCGTAATAAGAGACAAGGTGAATATAACGAACACTAATAGAACTAATAGAATCTACAAACAATGCAAATTTTTGGAAAGAAAATAATACAAGGACCCCCGGATATTTCAGAGGTAGGATTAGATGCCTAGTATACTCTGTTGACAGGTCATACCTGCTGTGAGCCCTGTGTATTGATCAGGTAGACGAAACATTTCGTAGTCAAATTTAGTATATAAACAATTGGTATAAAACAGGACATTCAAAATACATGTTCGACCCAATGATAAGTTATATTTACGAACAAGGTAACGACAATAGAATTTCGAAATGTTGTTGAAATCCTTGTTATTGTAAGTTCACTGGGATTAATTGAGTCGATATATGAATGGAAGTAATTATTGGTAATTGATTAGAAATCGTCGATATATCTGAATGTCGAGTTGAAGGTTACTGCAAGTTTTTTCTTCTTCTCATAAATTCTGCTTCATAGAAATATAAATATAAACCAGGTCGGCTAATAAAGGAGCACAATTAGTGCCCATAGAATCCCAACAGTTTGTTGGAAGACCTGATATCCGAAGACTACATAAAGGTTGTCAATGAGGAACTCCAGTATGCTATTAATTTCAAATTCAGAGCACTTATGTATAGAATCAGGGTATTTTTCCCACAAAGTAATTTTGTTGATGATCAATCCTTAGACACGAAAATTTCCGAATTCCATTTTTATTGAAGAATCAGTTGGCTATGATATCAAAAACCTCTAGAAATTTAATTTATCATGAGGAATGGTTGTATAAAATGTAGAAAAACTGTGCGTTTCGATGTTATTAACTTTTGAAAAATTTGTAGACTTTAAAACTTTCTAAAAGTTCTTTGGAGTTTTGAGGAATCAACATCAGATTAACACCACTTCTAGAATATGCTGTACCACAGTATGTCTGAGGGTTTTCCTTTAACATTTAGCAGTTAACATTTTTAGAAGTAAAGATAGGGGTTTGGTAAAAAAAAAATCAATATTTTTCTTTTTTTTTTTTTGGAAACTCAAAAAAATTTGAGGATATAGTGAAGTTTATTGTATTTCTAATACTCAACTTTTTAAATTCATCTACCTGATTTGAATGCTAAGTATTGGAAATGTGATGATGCTGACGGTTGAAAAGATGAAGTTGTGTTATCTTTAAATAGCAAAGGTGCAGTGACATGATCCTCTAGATTGTCTCCAACAGGTAAATCAGCAATCAGCGGTATCTGTACATGTTTTTGAGGGCAAATAATTTAAAACCTAAATAATTTTACAAAACGAAGAAAATGTTCAAAAAGATCATATATTTTTTTTCTTTTTCAAAAGACTTATTCTACATGCATTTTTTTTTATTTTATGAAAGATCATTCTTCCAAGAAGCTGAAGTCTATTAATGCAACTTACTGTTTATTTAAATCATAAAAAAAAAATTCCTGAAAAATGTTGGTTGTACTTTTGGACATTAGGATATAACATAGTTTTCCTCACCCCCAATGATTGTAGGTGGTCCTTTGGTCCAATACCTGACAACATGAGAATTTGTGGACTATTAAATGCACCAGCAGAAATAATTACTTCTTTCCTTGCCTTTATTATATGTTTTAAGTTGTCTCTCAAAAGTGAAATGCCCACTGCCCTCTTGTTTTCTATCAAAATCTGAAATTTGAATCTAAATTATCTGAAATCTATTATATCAGCATAAAATGGTTTTGTAATTATATACAGACAATGATTGATCTCCGAGTCGGCAGTATTTCAGAAATATTTCGGCGAACTTAGAGAATTAAAATATTTTGATCAAATATATTACTTTGGTAACATAGGAATTCACAGCCACATGAAGATTTGGACGATTCATAGCAGGTCTTAGAAAGGCTTTAGCCGTACTCCATCTCTCTCCGTTTCTGACCGTTTCTTGTGAGTGACAGTAGCCTTCATGAAGAAATAGGAAAAGTTCTCGTGTATATATTAACAGCTTGAACGTAACAAAAAATAAGTTTTCAGAGTATTTATTTTGCCCAGTGATAGGAGCCTTGGCTAAAGAGATTAAATGTAATACAAGAGCAAATAAATCATAGGAAATAATGCAGGTAAAGAAACTTTTGCTCAAGTTATATTTTAACCCCTTTCGCCCTCGTATTCAGTGGATAAATTCAGAACAGGGCGAATAAAGTCTCTTAAAACACAATAGTATGTGGACAAATTTAAAAGAGAAATCAGATTCAAGCTTAAAAGGTCGAACATAACGCGTATTTAAGATAAGACCGAATACAATAGTTTTCATCAGAGAGAAGAACTTTATCTGTATAATAAAATTTGAGATTTGCTTCAGGTGATATTACTATAGAAGACAGGTGTACATTAAATATGTGTCTGACCTATTTGTGATTTCCCATTGCAGTCCACAACAGAATAACCAAGCTCTTCTATTCCTCGTCTATACACATCGTTCAGAGGGGTGGCTGTTCCGTCAGTAACTGTAAGTAGACCTCCTTTTCCATGGTAGGCTGCAACAGAAATTAAACTTGACATATAATACACATAATATAGCAGGTTTAAATGTAACATACTTGATTTTTCATTGAATAGCTTTTTGAACGTTTTATTGGATAGAAACCTTTACAAAATTTAAAATTTTCCAAGTACATATTCTTAAACTTTCAGAACATCACAAAAATAGATTTGTTTAAATAATAAATGATACAGGAAAAGAGTTTTTATACGTGAATTTTTTAATCTTGGTATTTTAACATCTTCTGATTTAATGAAGTATGGAAGAATATCCCTGTAGCTCCATCCTTCGGCACCCTCTTTTGCCCAACCATCAAAATCATGGCGGCTCCCCCTTACGTACAGCATATTGTTAATGGAGCTGCTACCACCAAGGACACGCCCTCTCGGCAGAGCACTTTTCTGTCAAAATTGAAAAGAATTTTGCTATTTTCAAATTATTTATTTCTTGCTTTTTCGAAGGTTTGAGTTTTCTATTTTTTTTTTCTTCTTCAAGAATTGATTAATTCCATGTCAGTAGCTGCATGTAAAGATATCATTGAGATCAGCCAATTCCCATTTTATTTTCGTATGTAGCAAATAAGTTATAGTCTATGCAATGTACCATGATTTCAATGCACATGAAAGGATTTTTTAAAAATCAAAATTAAACCTTATTTTTTAAACCGAAACATGCGTTCTTTTGAGGAACTGTTCTATAGGCCCAGTCTTGTTTTGTATTTTGCAAACCTCCGGCCGCAATAGGTATATGCATCAGTTCATTCTCGTTTTCCGATCCTCCAGCTTCTACAATTAGTACTGATGACCTTAAATCTTCAGATAGTCTGTTAGCAAGAACACATCCAGCGGACCCTGCTCCAACTGCAAAATGATCAAGCAAAGACGACCAATGTTTCTTCTATGAAAAGAGCTATTGCAATTGACAATCATTTAAAAATTGAAAATTTAAACTTCATACATGATCACCAAGTGATGGAGTAGTATCACACACATACCTATTATATAGTCGTATGTGCTATTAAAGACAATACTTGCTTCTTCACTTGCTTTGTTCTTTGTATTCATGTAATAGTAAACAAAGACAGCAAGTAATACCACAAAGAAGAAAGTCACTGACTGATCCATACCTAAATATAATCAAGAAAATTATTACATATGTTATTCAAATTAAGTACATGTATTATCTGCACCTTTGGAAGTGTTACTTGAAATATTTGATTTAAAGTTTGACTTGCCACTATTGTCCTTTTTAATAGACACTTTTTTTAATACTCTTTTTGATATTTTGCTAAAAAGAAAACGATTATGCTGCATTCATTATCAAAATCATAGTGGATTTTACTTAAGAATATGTAACTACTACCAATGTCTTACCTGATAATGTATTTTGTGGGTTTAATAAAAAGAATACAAATAGTGTTTTAATGAGATAAAGGATGCCTATTTATTTTATAATATGATTATGAATTCATATGTTAAAGAATCTTATGTAAACATTGCTCGTCTAGGAGGAATATCCTTTCGATACGAGACTATTTCCCAATAAAAATACTTTTGACGTGAAAATATTAAATATTATCTTTTGCATTCATACTGGGAAAATAAAATTCATCCTACAGTTTCATATATACAATGCATATGAGAGAGAGAGAGAGAGAGAGAGAGAGAGAGAGAGAGAGAGAGAGAGAGAGAGAGAGATCTACCTTTGAAGAATCAAATAATGTGTCTGTCATTAGTTCGATTATTCGAAGCTAATTTTGCTTCATTTCTTCTATTTAAGCTCGCTAAAGCATAACGAAATAGATTGCACATAAATATAACTGATGTTTTTGAGATATAGTTAAGATATAAAATGTCCATTACAACGTTGAATCATTTTGCTGGGGAAGATAATCGGTATATCTCGGAAGTTTCAATTCTGATTGAATAAACGTCTTTTATAGGTCAAGGTACATTTTTATGGCAACATTCGGAACCTCTCTAGAGGTGATTTTACATTACGCATGTCGTCATCAAGTACATTGCAGAGATATACTAATAGATGAATTCTTATGTTAATCGGGATATGGAGAACTCTTTTAAACAAGCATTCTGAGAGTATTGCATTAGCAATACTAGTCCCCTACCGGCAAGTGTAATCTGGTTCCCGTTAAGAATTGAAAATGCCATAATTCCGTCAAAAATTAATGAAGCGGAACGAAATGCAAACTTGATCTATAACTAATCAAGGTAAAGCCACATACTAAAAATCAGCTCAATATCTACAAGCGTTTAGAAGAAAATTGCGGAAAACCCTTAAAAATTGAAAAGGCCGTAATTCCGTCAAAAATCAATGAAGCGGAACGAAATGAAAACTTGATCTGTAACTCATCAAGATACACTCACATACCAAAAATCAGCTCAATATCTGCAAGCGTTTAGGAAAAAAGTGCGGAAATCCAAGTGGGACAGACTGACAGACAGACAGAGGGACAGACAGACAGCTAGACAGACAGACAGACGGACGGACAGACTCAGAGGAAACCTATAGTCCCCTCCGGTTTCATCGGTAGGGACTAATAAATTAGATGCCCAGTGAAGCGCTTACAAATAGTTCTAGGTGCTCATGTGCGTAGCTCGATTGTCAGCTTTTACATATACCAGGCGCGGATCCAGGAATTGAAGTTAGGGGGGGGGGCGTAGAAAGTAGGCAGGGGGTCTGGGGGCCGCCCTGAGGCCCCCAGTAGGTCCAGAGCAAAGCCTTGGTGGGGACCCAGGGGGCGAAGCCCCCGGAAACTCCTGGATTCTAGAGATTTTGTAGGGTAAAAATGAGGTTTACCAAGTAGACATTTTTACATTTTTTTGACGAAACTATGATTTACGCTAACTTTGACAGTTTTAGGGGGGGGGGCGGGTGCGCCCCCCCCCCTTAAATCCGCCACTGTATACCCCCCCTTAAATCCGCCACTGTATACTACAATCGTATGAAGAAAATATTTTATTTGCAGATCAAGAATAACAGGAAAACAAATATAAGGTGCATAAACTCATTACCTGGATAAAGCAATGTCTGGGATGAAAGCTTGATGCAGACAGATCACCATGTGCACAATGTACAGTTGTGACCTACTTACAAGTAACCTGCAGTCTGCAATCTGTGTTAATCTTTCTATTTAAATCATACGAAAGAAACTAGACTTTGACCCGTGCACGGGTAGACATTGTTATGAATGCATCGATGTGCATATCGGACATTTACCAAGGGTATCCTAAGTAGGAAAGTAGGAACATGAAAGTACTTCTTGCTGCAATATTGAAGTCTTTTCCTGGGTGTGTGTGTGTGTGTGTGCGGGGGGGGGGGGGTTACAACTCTTTTGGGATCATACAATATCATTTCCATTTTTTTTATTGAAATCATACAATGTAATCAGAAACATTTTAAAATAAATGTTTTGATGTATTTATTCAGAGCATAATTTTTTTCAAAATATTTAGTAAAGTCTGAGTTTACCGCAAACTTTAAAGTCTACTGACCTTGACCGATTTTATTTTGGGACAGCCAATGAGAATTTGGGAGCGGATCTTGAACTGAATATTGGAATTTTTCTTACTTCATACTTAAATAATGCAGCAAAATTAAAATACATACCTCATAAGCATTTATATATCTGTTTAGTGATAACAAAAGTTAATCAAGTGCAGTATTAAACGTTTGCAATCAAAAGTCATTATATCACATGAGAACTGTCATGGCTGCTGAAGAAGACAACTTGTTTTCACGCTGGTGTATTTTTTCTTGTGGCGATTTAATAAAACGTTAGTTTGTTTGCTACGATTAAATATAATTCATTTCATCAATGAATAAATATTTTTTTATGATCCTAATTTTGTCCCACCTCATAGTTTTGAGATTTACTATGCATGGATTATATTTTACAAATGATCGATATTTTAGCAGCATTGATAAAATGAACTGTACGGGCCGCAAGGGCTGACTTCAGACTACCTATTAAGCGTAGTTATCACGACAACCTTTACATATTTAGAAGAACAGTTAGGCTGCCCCTTCTATATAACGTACTAAAGATCAATAACAATAATTTACATATTTCACCCACTTTTTTTGAAAGTTAAAGAAATTTTTGGAGGTGAATTTAAATATAAACAATAAAATGCTTTCTTTGATGGTTCACATGGGAAATGCACGGCGCAAGCATTGAAGAAAAAATTACATAATCCTCTAATACGGGTTACATTTTTTTCCTGCAATGCTACTTTTATGCAAGTGTCATGCATATCTCACATGAACCACTTAAGAAAGCATTTTATTATTTAAATAACAGCTATGAATGCATGATACATATGCATGGACATACACGCGGACAAACAGGCAGGACAATAAACACAAAGGCATACATAAAAGACAGGAGGTACGTATTGTTGACAACATGGCTATAGGATTTGACTGGTTATACCTGGGCCCCAGGTAACTCAGGGGGTGTTCAAAGTATTGTTGACAGACCAGGGTCAGAGGTCATTACACAGTGTTACATGTATTTACATAACAAAGCTATAAGCCTACAATAATGCTATTAATTTCACTACACTCACGGAAGAAATATAATGTGAATTTTTTGCATGGAATCAAATATTTCTTTGCCCTTAGTTTATGTCTCATATTTACCGCGTTATAAATCTCAGCAGTGAAGGTAATAGTAAACATGGCGAACAAATTCAAGTTGCAATCATTTAGACACATTTCAAATCGAAAATATTGGTTATATTGACGTTATTTGATTATTTCGATTTATTTCAAAGTTAAGAATTGGAAATAATGTTATTGTAATATTTGGCGGAAAAAGAATGCCTACTTTACTAAGATGTCATTCTAGCTGGAGTTTTAACACACCCCCCCCCCTTCCCCTCAAAAAAGCATCAAAGAAAGGAAGGATAAAATAAAATCGGGTAGTTACATTATATTGCTCCTACGATCATGAGCTTTTTGCCTCCGTTGAGATAGCCAGAGACATAAATAACATGTAATAAATGTGTCTCCTAGATGGCGAATGATTATCCACGTGGCCACAATATCACATTTGCATGGATAAACTCAGAAACGATAAATAAATACAAAAACGTGTAAATTTTCATTGGAAATTTGCTATGTATTCTGTTCAAATATATTTATGATTTTTTATTAGAGAAATCATAACATAACAAATATATATCTACTTAATACTTTTTTCTTCTCTGATTTGAACACCGTGATTTAGCGTGAATGTAATGCGCACGCGCAAGATTGAAAAATCCAAAAAATCCAGATGATTTCCGGAATTTTTTGAGGAATTTTCGTTGATTATTAATTAACGAAGCTTAATTGAGAAAAAATAAAAACAAATTGGTAATCTTCAAGTACCAATGATGTTTAAAATATATAAAACAAAAGACAGTACTCTTCTGATTTATCGGTATTAAAGGCCAAAAATTCGAGTCTATAATTTTAATATAGTACATGTAGTATAGATCGAATACGGACATTACGCAATATTACTTACACTCGAAACATGAAGTTACTATTATTTATTTTTGCCGCATAACGTACTACCTTTCTGATGTTGATACAGAAACCAATTATTTTCTATGAAATATCTATTTTCCGAAATATGTGTAGTAAAGTGTAGTTTAACTTAATGTTTATATCTCAATACATTTCAGAAGTATTTTTCTAAGATACTTTATAAATTATAAAACATTTTCTCTCTCTTGAACTACCATGGATGAGCATGAATATCTCCATTGTGACGACAGATACCGTACTTGACCTCAAAACAATAATGCAAAGTGTATAGTGTTTCAGAAATGATAGTTGGATGACATAATGTTTTGGCAAGTCAACAGATAAATTATGTAAATATCAGATACGGATTGAATTTTTGAAAATTTCTAAGGTTCAACTACAACGCTTCACGCCTGCATATTTCTCAGGAAACGCTGACGCACACCATGAAACAAGCAAAAGTCAAATTTATTTCATAAAATTTAACATGCATAGCTTTCTTACATTAGACACCCAATGAACTGTTTTCTTGTTTAACTTTAGACTCGCTTTCGTCTTATACGACATGACACAAATATATTTACACTGTATACAGGAAAGTAAAAAGAAAATGAGTCCATGATTCGGTACTCTGTAGTTTTAAAATCTGTATCCATAATCATGAATTCTGAATATGTCAGTAGAATCCTTATGCATAAATTGCAATAAATTATTTTTACAAAAAAATTATCTACGGATTTCCCCGTTTTCCTGATAAAGACAAGGGGCAGGTGTGACCGGTCGACAAGGGATGCTCACTCCTCCATGACACCTGATCTCACCTATGTTTTCAGAGGTCCGCGTGTGCTTTCTCACAGTTTGTATATTTTAATTTGACTTCAATTTTGAGCATGATTTATAATATTCCCATTTCACACCAGGATATACCAGAATATATCAAGTAATATTTTATCTAAGCAAACATGATTAACTTTCAGTGAACATGTAACTTTTAACCAATACTGTATGGAAAAAAGAATTTAACGACTTAAACTGCATTTTTCAAATTGGTAATTTTTGTTTGCTAATTATGTTGAGGACACAAAAAATGATATAATGTGGAAAAAAAAAAAAAAAAAAAAAAAAAAAACCAAGAATATTCTGGTTTTATCATTTTTTGTAGAACAAATATTTTTTTTTTTTGTTGCTATTTTCTATTTTTAAATTTATTTATTTTTGTTTGCTTTTGTTTTTCAGTAGTGACGCAAAGATCATGAAGTCTTTGATCAGTATAAAAGAAGAACAAACAAGGTTTCAATAAAAAAAATTATAGATATATATACTCCAAAGTCATAATCTCCAACATCAACAAATGTTTAGAAACTTAATTTCCCTGCTGTTCTTATCAGAACAAATACTTGCTACTTTAAATTTAATGACACTATTTCCAAGCAACTACTGTTTCAAAGCAAACGAAGTCCGTGGGAAGGGACGTTTAATGGTGCCCCTTGTCAAGGATTACGAAGCCCTTGTGAGAGAACGTTTTTCTGGTTTTAGAAAAGAGTAAGCCCAAGGGAGACCGCCAGGAAACCCCCAAACTTTCTAAAAGAACAAATTATTACCGCAAAACGATGGTTTAGATATTGCTGACTCGGTGTAAAATAACACTAAATTAATCAATCAATCAATCAACCAGTTAATCAAACAAACAATCAATCAATGCACACGTGTATCAAAAGTCCATGTGTTCAGGGATATGTATATCTACCAAGTACCAGAAAAAATCTGGGGTTAACTTCATATATATGATTATGTCCTTTACATAGAAATTCCAATTGAAATTCCAATGCTATAACAAGTATAACTAACTGTACATTCTTATCTATCTTTACAAATAGGTGAAGATACCTTTCACATATTTTCAATAAATTTATCACAAACCATAGATTCTAGTGATAAAACAAATAAATAATGAATAGTTCTGGAGTTATAAATGTAAAAATGATTCTTGCCGGATTTTTCCCTTTTCATTGATAAGTTATAAATGCACCAACCTTAAAATAGTATATATATATATATATATATATATATATATATATATATATATATATATATATATATATATATATATATATATATATATATATAAGTTAATATACGGTAATATATCTTTAAAACCTCAATAATACAAAGCAGTAAATATTAACCTTTCTGAAATAAATGCTCTACATGTTCTACAGAATTTTTAAGAAAAATTATAAGCATTGTAGTGGGCGTGTAACATCATCTGCCCTGATTCATTCTAATATAGAAAATACTACAACCATCATCCGTATACTTGGAAATGATATGATCCTAGTTCAGCATTGAACACATGTATATCCTTTTCCTCTCTAATTCTGAATGATTTGATCAAAATATTAGTTTGCTATAAGGAATCTGTGATTTTTCTTATATGAGTCACACTGTCAATTCCAAGTATCATGTCGGCAGCTTTTTCTGCAATCATTATAGTTGGAGCATTCGTATTTCCTGATGGCACGTTACGCATGACGGAAGCGTCCACTACTCGAAGATTCTTTATTCTTTTAACCCTGTTAAAAAAGTATATAAAAATAGTCAAAATACATATTTTTAGACATTTACAAAGTAAAGTTTATTATATATTTAACTTCCATTCTGTTTACATGGCAACCAAACAAAGTCGGCCAAACTTACTGTAATTTTTCTATCTAAATTTTTGTTCCTAGATCTTCTCGGAGATGGCTTGGGCTAGATTAATCCTAATGAAACTTCACAGAAATAATATTTATCATTTTTTTTTGTTCTTTCAGTATTTAAAATTTTCAAAATTGTAATCGGAAACCATCAATATGTGGACATTTTCATGTTTCATTTTTTAATCAATGTCCAATTAGCCTCTTTGAAATTTTATGGTATATTCCCTAGCATCAAGGCAAAGAAGTTAATGCAAAAAACTTATCAATTAAACATTTTTTTTTCATTTCTGACATGTAAATAGAAGAGGTTTTTTTTTTTGGTTCAAAATTTATATTTCTGAAAATATCTCAAACTTCATGATATTGATATTTTAAAGAATCCAAAAATGTGTGGTAGCTTCCAGTCATTGAGAATCCAAAATATCTGCTGTTATTGTAATAACGAAAAAAATTATTTCTGTAAATGTCAAATTCTAAAAATCTAAATACATCTACCACTTGTTTACATTTTTATTCAACTGTAATATTGTTTTAAGTCCGGCTTGCAAGCTCAAACTTTCCATTTCGTATTTTGTCTGCATTAAATTAGATAATAACAAGAGGCCCATTCCCAAAAAAACGATAACATGAGTGACGATGATCGATCGTTTTATTTAGAGTCAAAGAGTTCCAAAGGAATGTAGAGGGTAAATCTGTGAAATCTTTTGAAGAAACGTTATCTTCACATCTCTCTAGAAAAAATATCTTAATTTTAATTCCACAGTAAATTTTAAACCCCTATATGACTATACATATCAAGTCTTCTAGGTACTGATCTGGTGTTTTCGGGGTTTCAGGGGTCCATTTTTTTTCTCTATTCACATTTCTTTAACATACAGACCAAAAGACGGTGGACAAACAAACTTTTATTAGTATATGCTATCGCTCAATTAAACTAAAAACTTACATTCATTAATCAAGATGAAAGTGAATTTACCTTAAATATGGATCAACAACGGCAGTAGGGTCATCTGGTGCCCCCATTCTACATGTAGACGTTGGGTGGTATACAGTGTAGGTATAATACTTGATTCTACAGACCCAGTATTCTTCTGACGGAAAAGGAAGTGTATTGCAGGGAGGTAGATACTCCTCATAAGGATCCGTAGGTGATGCTCCAATAGATTTAAAAGCTGTAGTATTTGCTACTTTCATATATATCTTTATTCCTAAAAAGAATGAAAAACAAGAAATAATAGTTTTTAAAATTATTGCTGTTTTTGATGTCAATACAATAATTCAGCCACCTGAGGAGAATAATATTGTACTTCGAGGTTGGCTACATCATTGGCTTGCCTTGAAAATACGCACAATATTTGTTTTACTATGATTCAATGATCAAATGATTCTACATTTGCTGTAGTGTAGCTTAACGTTATTCTTAATATTTTAAAGTATTTTATATAACTGGAGGAAATTTTAAGGCAAAAATCAGAATAGGAGAATATGTAAATTTTGATGATATTCGATTTTTAAATATTTTATAGCAGTTGTGACATTAATTTTGGATAAACCCTCATAATAATAGAACCATGTTCTGAGCTCTTACTTCAGAATGTTCGACAAATGCAATATGAGGATAACTTACGTTGACACTCTACATCAAGGATTTTATCAACAGTTGAAAGAAATCTTGGCAGTTTTAGATTGTCTTCTTTTTGTTACTTACTCTAAGTTTTTATAAGAAGCATTTTCGTAAAAGCTCTACTTGAAAGGATGGAGAATTTTGCAGCAATTTTTTTTTTCACTTTTAAATAATGTGCTTCTTTTTTTTTTACGATGAAACAAGTTACAGTTGGAGTCATGTCAACAAATGGGGACATAAAGAAATGGTGATAGGTCACATTTAATACAATGCGATCCCGTAGGTATAACATTGGATCATACTAGTCTTGTGTTGTATACTGGAGAGAACCAATTGCAAATATAAATGTTAATTATATAATATATATTTACCTTTTAATAAGGTCCTTATATCGTCTGGATGATCCAAGTAATTGGGGTCTATGAGTGGCGGATCAAAGGGATCTCTACTCTGAAGTCTAATAGTTCCTCTACTCTTGGGGTGGAGAAGTATATTTTCTGCGAAAAATGTCCCAATACCTTTGTTGAGGTTATTTTCAAATTTCTTTCGAATGCCTCCCTTGTTCTCAAAAAAGTAACACAAAATTCTGGCTAAAAAGCTAAGTTTGCAAGTGCTATGTATTGTGTTTTCTTTTCATAATGCAGTTTATGTATACATTTATACTTTGAATGATTGGCAATGGAAAGAATCTTTCCAAAATCATTTATTTTCGAAAATTTAAAACAGTAAAAGTTTTTTTTTTTTTTTTTTTTTCAAAATTAGCTTTCTATTATGATGATTAGTATTCAGACTCTTATACTGTGTATCTTTCAAAGCGTCTTCGCCTCGGTCAATATTGATATTTTTCTGGTGAATAACAAACCTTATTCACCACCGAAAGAGTCCATCTCTCACCTTCGGGTCAATGTTGAGAAACTGCACGTACTGGTCTGCGAACGATGGGTGAACACTGACACTGTAAAATGAAAATTGTGTGGAGGGAGGCCCGTTTTTATTATCTGCCAGGAAAACACTCGCTTCTCCGTGTGGCTTGCTCAATTGACCTACATTTACGAATAGACAGGATTTATTAGTTTTTACTTAACTATTATTAAAGAAATGTTTTCTTTTCTTTTCTTTTTTTTTACATTGTCTTCAATTCTTGATTATTCGGAACTTTTCAAATTTCTTTTTCAGATGTTTAATTTGTTTCTTATTTCATTAAAAGATATCTGAAATTGTAAACGTAAATACCTGGTATGAATCGCATCTATGAAACTGAGAAACAATTTACACGTTTTATATTTCATAATCAATGAAGGTTTTGACAACTCAACATGAAAAAATACGATCAAGATTTTTTTCAAACCTGATCTAAATGTAAGATATTTCAATATAGAAGCTAGTGATGGTGACGTGCTGCCTCCACTGGTTGTGTTATCATTATAAAACATGGCTGTCATGATATGATCTTGTAAGTTTTCTCCAACAGGCAAATCAACTACTAGTGGAATCTGTAATGCGACAAAAAGGATTAAGAATTTTAACTTACAATATCAGACACATTTGTCAGGAGTTTTTTTTTTTCTTTTTTAGATTTGATTAAGTTTTTAATAGATTAAATCTTTTGGAGTTGATGTTTATTTTCATTTCATGTAAGTGTTTGACATGATTAAGTGTAAATAGGAAAAGTTTGTTGAAAATTATCCAAAGTAAGAGATCGTATGATTGTATTTTGCTCGTATGGAATTATGAGATTTTTGAAACCTATATTCATTTATTATTAATACTTTGAGAATTTTGGGCTGTGACTTTGTAAGCCGACAGATATGTTATTTTTTAAATAATCTTTTAATGTTTACACCAGAAAAAAAATCTTAAATCAAGCACGTATTTGTTTTTCTTTTATTAACTCAAACCTGGTGGAAAATGGTATTTTTTACCCCTGACTTTGCCAAATGACGTTTTGGTCCAACACCAGACAACATTAGAAGCTTGGGACTATTAATACTGCCTGCTGATATAATCACTTCCCTCCCAGCCAGTACCGAGTGAATTAAATTGTCTTTTACAAAGGAAACACCTGTGGCCAATTTATCTTCTATGAGGATCTACGTTAGAAAAAAAAAATAGATAAATAATAACATTGTTGATTTTTTTATCCGTTGTTGTACAAATACTCAATATAAAAACCATTCGCACATAAACCAGCGGTCTCATCCTATATATAGAAAATAATCGTGTAAACTGGAAAGCTTTAGGATAGATAAAGACAAAATGCTACTACACAGCGTAGTCAACAAGATTTTATAACAAAGGCGAAGAGCATTCCAAAAATATCATATGAAAATCAAGAAACAATTGTGCATAAAAGTAGTTTAAGTAATAGGTGATGCTTAAGGCAAAGAAAATGATAGATAATATGGCCTAAAGTAGATCCGATAGGCAAAAAGAAATTGCAGAAAGAACAAGGATAATAGAAATTAATGTAGATATTTGAAAACCAAGGAACTGAAGACATCGAGGGCCATTAAAGTAGACATGAAAGGTACAGGCTACTTAAATATTATCACCGGAGAATTGACAGAAACCAGTGGAGAGACCTTTAATTTCACTTCTTCAAGTGCAGTTATGCAGTAATGCACTAAGAGATTGAAACATGACGAAAATTCGCTTTTAAATGTAAAGGATTAAAATCATCTCTACAAAAAAGAATAACGAATTCTTAGGATTATAAGAAAAAGTACCTTGGTTACAAAAGCCTTTGTTACAATTTGAAGGTTTGAACGATTCATGACTGGTCGAAGAAATGCTTTGGCAGAACTCCATCTTTCGCCATCCTTAACATTTTCTTGTGTCGGGCAAAATCCTTCAATTTTGATAGATGTTGTTGAATTTAGTAATTATTATACCGAATACATGTTTTCGCGCCATCAAATGCTTTTATTTGAAAATATAACATATCATTTAAAAAAAAAATTCTTGTTAGTTCAAACCTGTCTGCGTTTTTCCATTGCAGTCAGTCACAGAATATCCTAACTCCTCCATTGCTTGTCTATACACGTTACTTAGCGGTGTGGCCGTACCATCACTCACAGGAAGGGGACCCCCATTTCCATGGTAAACTTAATAATCAAAAAGACAACGATTGCCAATTTAATTATACGCAATTTGTTTCTCATGTTTTAACATCAGTTTAGAAAATTTCAGAAATGTTTTGATAGTCGTAATGTTATTATGTGTATGCCAAAATTTCAAACATAAATGTAAATACTCAAAACGGATAAAATTTACCTGAGTTTCGTAAATGTTCTATTTGAATATCCTCAGATTTGATAAAATATGGAAGAACGTCCTTATAACTCCATCCAGAGCAGCCTTCTTTAGCCCAGCCATCGTAGTCATGGCGACTTCCGCGAACATTATTCATGTTATTTATGGAACTTGATCCGCCAAGCACACGACCTCTTGGCCAAGCACACCTCTAATAGTAAGGTAAATTGAATTAGGTATTTCACAAGAGAGAAAGAACAATTGAACTTCATATCTCTTTTTTAGCATAAATTTTGTTTTCAATCAATTGAAAATATATTGATTGTTTTGAAATGATTGAAGACGTAACATATTTACATAAAACATTCATAATCATTTCTTAAACATACCAATAAATAAATAAAAAAGAGTAAAAATAAATGAATAAAACTGACATTCATTTATACGAGTGTGACCTGAAACCAGACCTTGTCTTTCATCCCTAGGCATGCTTTCGTTTGTGGGATGGTTCTGAAAGCCCAGTCTACCTCGGTGTTTTGAAGGTCCATGGCCGCAAAGGGTACTCGAATGACTGCATTATTCTCCTCAGATCCACCAGCTTCTATCAGAAGTACTGAGAATCTTGGATCCGCCGATAGTCTGTTAGCGAGAACACAGCCCGCTGAGCCTGCTCCCACTTTATCAATTCCAATCAAAAGAAAATAAAGAAAACTGAGATTTTTACTGAAATTCAAATAGAATTAGCATCATAATTATTCTAATTTTAGACATAATATTGGTTGGTTTCTTTCCTTCAATTTTATAAAGTATATTATAAATTGATGTTATTTAACATGTAACTTGTGTAAGATAGAAATAAAGTATGCAATTCTACGAAAACTAAAAATTTGTAAACAAAGTCTGATTGTTGTCATTTTCAGAAAAAACTAATACGTAATTATTAAAAGTTGTTATTATGGCTTGTGCATTAATACACACGTGTCATATGACGACAGATAATAGTGTTTATTGAAATCAAATAGATACTCGCGGATATGTAAGATTAGGAAACATGCGTTATCTTAAATATACTTAATGATACTGCTTACAGACTAAGTAGATTAGTAAAGGAATACTTAATACTAACCTATAATATAGTCATAAGTCTTATTAAGTGGTACTCCATTTTCTGAAAGGTCCTTGTTCCGCATACGTATAATGTTATATATAAAAATCGCACAAATGATAATCAATATGGAAAACAGCTTACTCATACTCTGCAAAAGAGCTAAACACATGCACTTATTCAAGTTTAAAGCTTAATGTGTAGATGTAATGCAGATATATAGATTAAAGCCATGTATGAATACAATTTGCAATGTCATACCAAAATTATATACATTTTTTTCATTCTGTTAGTAGTTTTTCAGTAGGAGTCATCATTATGTAATAGGGGAATAGATGCTTATAACTTTAACCCCTTTCTTTATTTAGCCAAAAAAATATAACTAAAAGTATATGGTCGTCTACTGTTTTTTTTTATGTGTCTAAATATAGAAGACACGCCTAAGTTGTCTTTTTAAAAAGAGTATAAAGAAATGTAGTAGCCCTGCTAAAACAATCATTCAAAGTAAAAACGTACATGCATCGATCAATATAAATGTTTTTAAAACGAAACTATACATGGGACTTTCATAAACTTCACATGAACCGTGTAAAGTTTACTTTCGATACGAAACATTGTTAGCATTCTTACCGTCTCAGTATCTTCACATACACGTATGGTGACTTAGCTCAGATATTACAATATGTAAAATAAAGATCCGGAAAAACTCAGGGAAGTGACAAGAAACGAGGAATTATGATAAACACTGGAAAATGGTAATCGATATTAGAACCTACACAACAGCAAGATTTTGCTCAGATATTTATAAGTATGGCAATTAAAAAAATCCGGAATCAAACAAGGAAGTTATAAATCAAGGAAGAAATTCTGAATTATCAATAACAGACTAAAATTTATGAAAAATCAATAGGAAAAAAGCACACGTACCTTCCTTGAGAACCTTAACGATCTTTATAATACACCTAGACAGGCTTCGAGAATTAAGGCGGAAAAATATTTATTTTGCGTTCTACAAAATAGGAAATTTTATGAGCCTGTATAAAATTTTTGATAAATACAATCAATCAAAATAAATAAAACCATGAATCAGTCCTCAAATTATTTCAAGAAAGATATTTTCCAAAGAATATTGACCTTTCTCATTTTATTTAGAAACAAATGAACCGACTACCAGTTTAAATAAAAATTGGCTGACAGGTGCTTATTTATATTTATATAAAAAGAAAGATGAATGGATAAATAAATAAATAAAATGATAACATTAACACCAATGACGACTTTCCCAAATAAATAATTTTTTTTTAAAAAATCTTAAGAAACATACTGAATGAGCCATTTTTTCTTTTGTGTTGCTTTTAATTGCTTTCATTTTATTAGAAACGTTTAACACATGCCCTACTAAAATGATGAATTCGATAATGCTTAGACACAGTAAAGAGGAAAATAATTTACTAATGATAACCTATGACAAGTCAGTTTAGATATATAAAAAAACACAACAACATATAAACAGAACACAAAGAATAGATATGGGTTACCCCATATCCAAGATATTCGACTTTTATTTTACTCGAATTTCACTAGAAAAAAAAACTGCACATGTTATGAAACTGGTGTATAGTTCTTCATGTCCGTAGCAAATACCGTTGATCACCAGTCTAAGCGTCACTAGCAAACAGTGCACACACTGTGTTAGGTCTACATACGTGCTATGAGATTGTCAATCGCATCTTCTCGATCAGGCCTTTCTGCCGAGCTCGGAAAAACACGTTGTTTTTTGTGTCGAGAAGTTACGATTGCAGGTGTTATATATTAACCATTCCGTTATTTAAAAAGAGACAGAGAAAAAACACACACACACACAAAATTTAACTTTTTTGCGTTTTTAAATTGATCGAGTTAATCGATAACCTAGCAACGCTTTAGATAACCCTCTAGGGTCGGATCCAGCAGTTTTTGAAAAAAAAAGGGGGGGGGGTCAGGTCACACCGCAGGCACTTAAATTCAAGTCCGTACGTAGCAACGGTTTTCAAAGTGGGCAATCTCAAAAAAGAGTTGACAAGCAAAAATAAATAAATAAAATAAAAATAACAGCCTGTGCACCACACTGTAAAATCCTATTGGGGGGGGGGGGGGACTTCGTCTAACTTTTCGGTACATTTTGAATTCTTTTAAATGTTTGATTTTCCATATTTTGAACCTTTTGAAGCAAAGAGTGCGGGGGAGCTTCCAATGCAAATCAAAACTTATATATTAAAATTACAACAAAAGATTATTTTGTTAGAAAAAGTGAGCCCCCTCCCCCACATACTACGGGTACATTTTAAACCTTTCTCTTCATTGATTAAAATATCCCCATAATATAAATATATTATAATATTCTGTAATATTCTCTTATGCATACTGCTTTTCATAACTTTTTATGCATACTTCTTAAAGTTAGTTACTTCAGGAGATGGTCCAAAAATGGCATAGCCTTTCGTTCGCCGGAATCTTCCGATGATATCAAAATGAAATCGTTCATGTTACGTGTGGGTGGTCGGGGTCCGGGGTAAGAAAGCAATAAGCAAAACTCTATCTAGAGAGCAGAAAGGGCAGAGATTGAAGTACTTATTTTCTTGAAAATACTAAACGTAAAAATATCAATATTACGGGAAAAAACATTCTCTCTTTCTTCCTCTTTCTGCAAAAATAAAGGGGGTTCCAACGTCCGGAAAACACCCCCTCCCTGGATCCGCCAATAGAGTTAAAATTCAACCATTACGATACCTGCACGCTTAAGCCTCTTTAAATTCGGTGGTTAATTTTAAAGGCTACATTACAATTATGATAGATACCTGGTAGATCAACAATTCATATTCATATCATTTCAAGGTCATGATTTTTTTTTATCATTTATTACAGCCTAATTAAACAGACCTAAATAACGATGAAAATTACAAGATACATGTAAAAAAAATTAAATTTAATTACACTTTTGTATAATCACTAAATCTAGAAATTTTCTTTGAATTTCGTTTAGAAACACATGCATATGGTCCACGTATTGCAGTCCTTTTTTAAAGGACAGCAACTTGTTTTATTTATAATTGTCATAAGAACTACGCACGCTAACTTTCGATTCCCGCCTACATTTTACACCCATTTAATTCAATACTTATGGCAATTTGACCGTAAAATCCTTGTTGAATATAAAGAACAGTTCAATGGTAATTGACTGATAATTTTAATGCCAGTATTAAATAGTTAATTATTCCTAATTCCAGCTCTTGAAATAAGGGGGGTAGACGATATTTTCCATTGAAATCGGGCTTTAAAGCATCAACACATTTTAAAATATTCTTGGATATGAATAAATGTTCCTAAAATCTTTTCTTATGTTTTACGCATATAAAATTAAACATATATTATTTAAAAAAATACAATACTTTAGTTGTAAAACCCTTTGAAATTGGTGAAAAATAAGCATTATTGTAGTTTTTTGTCTGTAAACATATGTTCCCCCCCGTGAAACACAAAAAGCTTTGGTATGAATTTGTAAAATGACAGTCCATATTACTGTATACAGTAAAAAGGAATTTTTGTTTCACGGGGGGGAAAGATGTTTTAAAAATATTTTCCGTTTTCCGTTGATTTCTATAGTGAAAAACACAAGTTTTACCCAAATTATAGAGTTATCTCTCTTTGTTTTCCCAAAGAAGTAATGTTTTATGAAAATTCATATAAATATTTATATAAATATGAAAAATCATCCAAATATGTTAACTTTTGGAAATCGACTTGGAGGTAGGCGGGAGAACAATGCTGTCGTTCGCAGTTCTTTGACAAAATGACGCTAATTATTATTCTGTATTCTGCAAGAATAAGTTTTAATGATTCTGAGAATTAGTGGTACATTCACACTAAGCATTATATCTTTTTAACTCCTCATATTTTGGAATAGGGTGCAAATCGCTTGTCACTCATAAGTATTATTTACGAACAACACCAAATTGAAAACAAATACTCACAACACTCCTTTTTTTCCTTGAAAGGCTTTATTATACAATTGAATGAATTTAACCTTTGATAGATATCATTTAATTCACTTATTTTTTGGACGTATCATCATCTGTGTCCTTTTCAATGCTTCGTGTTTGCCTTTCCAGTAATACCAGACAGGATGTTCTGAAGATATTACAGCAGAACCTGTATAGAGTCCGTTAAGATTTGAACCATGACAAGCATCATACCACCAAGCTCCATGAAATGCCTGTGCGCAATTATTACCGCCATGTCTATCGTTATCTTGATCTTTGGTGGTGAACTTCATGTTGTTCTGATATTTCAGAGCATCTCCTATTATAAAAATATTCCACATTTAAGACAGTAAATGTTTGTTCTTTTAATACATCAAATGTGTTGTGGCATAAAAAGGTAGACCTGAATTGAGGCAATAACTAATATATGCATTAAAATTCCTACTTGGAGGTCCTGAAGAATTTAAAATATCACAAAGTAATTTTTTTTTTTTTTTTTTTTTTTTTTGGCTTTTCAAGATGATATTCGAACAAAAAATACCAAAAACAAAAGAATAAACAATAAAAAATTTAGAAGATTAAGTTGTTTGTTTTTAAAGTTATTGAGTTATCGGACAAATAAGCGGAGAAAAAGAGCTTCTACCGAAATAATATAGATAAAGGGAAACTAATCAGTTAATGTAAATTGATATTGATTAAATCATAATTAAGAAATTATAAAAATAAATTATGTGCACCTATTGTACCGGAGAAGCCCGACACATTCAACTTATATTTGTTGCTTTCGTTGTCCACAGAGAATCTGGAATATTTGGCGTATCCCTTTTCACCATTAAATCTTTGCAGATCAACACGGAGAAGCTGCGGTGTACCGTTGGTGAGTATGTTAATGACATCATTTCCTGATAGTTGCAAACATTTTCATAGAGCAATTGTGGGTAATCGTTACTTTTTAACACATATAACAAAAAATAACAATAATATTAATGGGACCTGCTTCAAATGAGATCAAAACATTTATCGTATATCCTTTTTCTGATTTTTTTTTCTCGTTCAGATCTTATTAACATTGTATCTTACATATTCATAGAATAAACCACCGGTTCCATTAACAAGTTTATATATCAAAGTAAGCATAAGGCAGCTTTAATTGTGAATTTTTTAAAACTTATCTTACATCTTTCTACTAGCACACATTGATATGAATGCAACTACAATGAACGGTTTATTAATTTTTTACCTAATCAACGAAAAAGACCCTGCCATGAACAGGGTCAAAATCGCATGTTTATTAATAATGGTCAAAACTACAAGACATCAATCTAGATGCTTCTCAATATGTTGCATTATATCCCAAAAGAAAAAAAAAATATGTTTTTAGTGTAGAATGAAAGAATTCTAAAATTATAAGTATTACAATCTGGGATTTGAATAAGAATTAGTCATTTTCTTGTGATTGAAATGGAGTAAATATTCCTGAATCCAAATATTAAAGATTTTCTATTTTGATAACTGATGTACCAATCCAGTAATTTTTGGAAGGATCTCCAAATCCATGCTTGTATTCTTTCCATGTTCTGTAAAAATCAGTCGATCCATCTTTTCGCCTTTGAATAACCTAAAAACATATATATTATTGTTAAATACCTGTAAATGGAATGCAATGCAATATTGCATGTATAATTATGTTATTTATTTTTAAGTTATTACAGCAAACAAAGAACGTCTAGAACAAAATTATTTAAAGGTAAATGACTTACATAACTTGAAATAATATCCTTATTAACAAGCTTTTAAAGCCTCTGTCAATGTTGATTTAAGGAATTTATCAAATTCCATTACTTGTGGGTCATCTTGAAGAAAATTGGTGGACACACACGTGATAAACATAAATAACGAAAAAGAAAATTGACTGAAAGAAATATATATATATATATATATATATATTATAACATTCTTTCAGTTAAATCTCAGTCCTCTTGCCTTATTTGTTATAAATAATCAAGGGGAAATCCGTGAAATTAAAAAAAATATAAATATAAGAATAAACTATTCACTGTCCACCCTCCTCCCTCTGTCGTCATGTCACAGAACACTTCCTTCCGGGTGTGTCCATCTGGGTAAATCACATAAACACCATCTTTTCTTTTTCTTTTTGGATTTGCATTCAATATTCCTGAACAGTCTTTTGCTTTTCGTGCTTCATGTAGTTATATTAAAAGAGGATGAAAACACTATTTGGAATTTAAAATTTTTTCCATGTTTCATAGAGACTATTACTCGTTACTTTATAAACTTGATTCATAAAGTGCTAATACATGTATACACATTGTAAAATACACCTACATATACGATGTTTGTCAGTAACTCCCTTCATTTCATAGGTAGACAACACTTCGACCTTAAGGTCAACAGGAATCATAGATTTAATATGCGATTTACTCGGCTTCCAAAGGACTTTCTTGGTTTTGAAAAACTTCTCTAGCATGCCTATAAAAACAGATTCACGGCATCAAATACATTTGACTACTTTATTGACCTACAAGTGTATGGAACATGTGTGTCCTTTTTTGTAAAGAGGTGTTAATTATTTATTTATTTAATATTTCATTTATTTGTATTCATTCTGTAAGAAGAAAAAAACATATAAATATTATTTCTATATCCGAAATTATATAATTTTCAAAATACATTGATAAATATGAACGTTGTTACCTTGAATATGTGGACTTATATCATGTCCATTGCAATACATAGAAAAAGCCAAACATAGACATATTGATCCTAGAATCACCTTCATTTTTGTGGACAAATTAGAGGTTATTGAACGAAAAGTGTAACCCTTTTTAAGTAGTGTAGTGTTTTCCGATACTTGCATTAAAATGAAATTAGATACATTGCATGACCTAACATCTTGTGACAGAGAAGAATAGGCACGGAAGTGCTTTCTCTAATTATTTGAAACTTATTATTCATAAAGGATGATACTAAATATTTTTTTTTTCAAAACTGAATTAATTATATTGATGTTGCAATGCGTAAATCTTCCTTAAATCGCTGGTGTCATTTGAAAAAGAAAACAGCTGTTTTAGGGGGAAAAGCATTCAAAAAGATATAATATGATTTTTAGAGATAAGAAGAATACAGATTAAATGAGAATTTAATGATAGTTTATTCCTTCCACTTTTCATAATAATTCACAAACTTTTTCATAAATTCAAATCTTGTTCTATTTTGTCAAATTTTCAGAGAGTTTTACATTATTTATGCAAGTCATGTCGTCTTCCCGATTTTCCCGTGCAGAAGATTCGTATATTTAGAATTAGCAGTGGATCAAAAAAGTGTTTGTAAGCGTCATGTAAATATCATATACACTATAACAAAAAAAAATACTCAAGTGAGATGTTATCTTCTATGCTTACTCCTACAAGTAAGAGCCTCTGTTAACGTCCCTATGATCCTTGTACACCTCGGAATCTTACATCCGAAGGTCATTTTCTAACGAGCTGGTTCCGACTGAGAATTAGTCGGAACACATTATACGTAAAGTAAACTGTAAACAAGTAATTCTCGGGTACCTATGTATTTGCATGAGGTATAACAGTCACAAGAAATGTTATCATAAATTTCACTTTAATCAGTATGCATCAGTGTTCATTAATAAAAATCGTCATGGTTTCAAAATTTCATCAGAAGTACTTTCGATTTGACTTCACATTAATTTTGCAGATTCCTATTCTGAAAACGAAAATTTCAGTTATTTCAGAGCGGAAGAGTAGTTTCCTTTCGTAAGTTTTTCTGCATTCCATTTCCGAATTATAAATAGACGACTTGCTTTGATTTCTGCTTCGATTTTGAAAATAATGGATTGATTGCTAATACAGTAGATTAACATTGTTTTATGCTTAAGTTTTATTGCAAATGATAAATATTTTATTGTTGCGTGAAATTTGTAAATGTCAAAGCCTGAATTTTTATTTGCAATCCTTGTTATTATAACGCACCCAAATCATAACATGGTGTATGAAGTGGCTCTTTAATGTGTTCTTCTGGCGAAGTACTAGTATCAGCACTTCCACGGAGTCAGTGCATAGTTCACGTGCACAGTTACATCCAGCGTTTACAAACATTCTCAGTCTAGTCTTTTTCGCGCCGGTGCAGACTCTTTGTTTATGATGGCGTCGTACCAGGTTCAACCGCCAGAAAACATGACCTTCACAAAACCCGAGGAGTGGCCGAAATGGATAAAACGGTTTGAAAGGTTTAGAATAGTTTCAGGTTTAAGTAGGAAAGATGAGAAAATTCAGGTTTACACACTTATTTACTCCATGGGTAACGAGGCTGAGGACATTTTTCACTCATTCGAATTAGGAGAAGAGGATGCAAAGAAATATGATACAATTCGTGACAAATTCCAGACACATTTCGGAGAATATCTCGCAGAAATTTAATCAAAGAAAACAACAAGAAGGCGAGTACGCAGACAGTTTTATAACAGCGCTGTATACAGTAGTTGAACACTGTGAGTATGGAGAACTAAAAGACGAGATTGTTTGAGACAGAATAGTTGCTGGCATAAGAGACAGCAAACTATCTGAAAAACTTCAGCTAAATCCATAACTTAAACTTGAAGAAGCTGTTAACCAAGCACTTCAAAAAGAAGCTGCGCAAAAACAACAAGCTATTGTGCGCAATGAACTAGCTCTTTCTCTGGAGAAACATCAAGTGTCGATGCTTTAAGTAATTGCAAGAAACCTGCAGTAAGAAGGAAACATTTTCAACATGCTCGATCTGAAAAACCTGGCATGTGAGATTTTGTAAAACCGTTCGACGGACACAATGACAAAGGCGTCTTATGTCACAGATGTGGGTATTCGCAAGTCTTAACCACATTCATAGCACCATTCGAGCTATATTGCTTCATTTCGGTATATCATCAGCCCTAGAGTACTTCCTATAAAAAGATGCAGATGATCTTAGCCGGTTTTAAGGGGGGGGGGGGGGGTTGCCAGATGGACGATGTACACGTGTTTGGAGCCTCCCAAGAGGAACATGATAGCAGGCTAGAAAACGTGTTAAGAAAACTATCTGAGCCAGGCATTACACTAAACAGTGAAAAAGTGCGAGCTCTCAAAGGATCAAATCACGTTTGTTGGACATGTAATAGACAAAACTGTGATTTAACCTGATCCAAAGAAAGTGTCAGCAGTCAAGAATTATGAGGCACCACAAAATGTGACAAAGGTTCGACGTTCTTAAGAATGGTGAATTAGTTCGGACGATTCACTCCTTATTTGGCAGAGTACAGCAAACCATTGCAGTACTTGTTACACAAGGACAATGAGTTTACATGGGGACCTCCACAAGAGCCAGCTTTGAGCAAAATTAAAGAAGAAATAAGTAATGAGACAGTATTAGCCCTGTATGATCCTAAAGCACCGACAAAGATGCGTCGTCGCATGGTCTTGGAGCTGTACTTTAACAAGCGACAGACAACAGTACCGACCATTGGAAGCCAATTGCCTATGTGTCAAGATCTATGAGCTAAACAGAACAACGATACGCGCTAGTTGAAAAAAGAAACTCTTCAGTGACATGGGCCTGAGAAAAATTCTCAGATTTCTTGATTGGTATGAAATTCAGCATAGAATACCACCACAAACCCCTTATGTCACTACTAGGGTCAAAAGCTATTTGTGATCTACCACCTGAGTTCAACTTTTTCGCATGCGCCTTCCGAGATATGAGAATGAAATACACCATGTCCTGGTAAAACACTGTACACAGGTGGCCAGGGATAAATCTTGAAACAGGGGACCTGATGAAAATCTGTTCTGTCTCTGTGAAAAACAGACATGATCAGACTGAACCTCTAGACCTATTAAATTCCTAGACAGGCGATGGGAGATGTTAGCAAAAGACTTATTATTTCACCTGAAAAATGAAAACTATTTAATTGTCGCTGACTATTTCTCCCGCTGAGTTGAAATAGCAAAGTTAAAAAACACTACCTCCCAGTCAATCGTAATCATTTGGAATCGATTTTCGCTTGACATGGTATACCAGATTCACTGGTGTCTGACAATGGACCACAGTATTCTAGCTCAGTCTTTCAGATTTTCTCCAGGAGTTAAAGATTTCGAAATCAAACAAGTAGCTCTGTCTATCCACAAGGAAATGGTAAAGCCGAACGTGCTGTACAGACAGTAAACGTTTGATAAGAAATGCAACTGACTCCTACCTTATATTACTGGCATATATAGCAACGTTGTGAAAGACTGGAAGCAGCCCATTTGAAGTTTTAATGGAGAGAAAACCTCGGACAACTACTACAAAAAATGGCCAGACTTGGAAAAGATATGTCAAGTAAAAGTACAACGTCGTCAGAGCCAAAAACCTAACTTCAACAAAGCAAAGAAAGCAAGACCGTTATCTCAGTTGAATGCTGGAGAAACCGTATGGGCGAAGGGAGAAGGAGGAGAAACGACTGAGACGGTTGTAGCCAAGTCACAACAGAGCGACTGTTCTTATATACTTGAAATAGCCAACGGATCAATTAACAGGAATCGAAGACACTTGGAACCAACCAATATGTTGAAGGATGAAGTATTTGTGAGTGACACATTGGATCAAGATAACAATATTTGCAGTTTTATAAAATGCACTGAGTGATAATGTGTGTGGTGAAAAAGTGCTGTGGGCAAGCCAAAACCAAGCTGCGATAAATACTGTAAATGACAAACATGTACGCGTCGATCAAAAAAGGTTCGCGCATCACCAGATCTGGTACAGTGTCCAAGTCGGTCGAGAGACTGAACTTAAGACTTGTTTTTATAACTGTTTTATTGTTGGCTTGTGCATGCTTTAGATAAATTCTAATATGTAATGTTCATTCTAGTCAGTAATTTCTAGTCATAGTTTTGTTTGTTGTTGAAAATGCGACTATGTTTGTTTTAATATGAATTTCGATATTATTCCCTGCTTTATATTGTTATTGTAATATCTTGAGAAAAGGGAAATGTAGGATAATCTGTAGTATTGTAATGTACATGTACAACTGAGGGGTTCGGAATCATTCCATGTACGATCTACTAAAAGATTGTTGTGACCTCACGGGAATAAAACAGCATGGCTCGTATTTGCAGTTCTTGTTATTATAACGAACCCAGAACATAACACTTTACGTCACGGTAGATCATGGAGAAAAATCCTTCGGACTACCTCAAATATACAGAGATTCATCATAGTAAATGTTTGCTTGAAAAAGATCCTTCACTGCTACTGGCCATACGTTCCGCAGTTCTAAATTAGCCACAATCCACTTGCAATTGTTGGCATCCCAGCATAAGTGATGTATTCACAAAGGGGCGTAATGTGAGCAAATAATCAGCGAACAACAAATTTACATTTAACGTATAAGATAAAAGTTTTAAGTTTAAGAAAAATGGGAGAAATGCCAATTAAACTGAATCTTTCTGGTCACTTTTTGCAAAGAAATAGCAAGAAATTGGATAAACATCAAATTTAAATAGAGATTTGTAAATTGAATTAGTTCTGAAATATCAGATTCATACATAAAGCATTGTTTATGAAACAGTTTTAGCTTCACACACACACACACACAAACACACACACTAATCAATGTTTATCTTTTCATGTTATTGAGTTTTAATCCGTCCATCTTCTTTAATTCATGTACCTCTGAACAATGTCACATGAAAAAGATAAATTTCAATTTCTTCAATTCGTACTTTTGAAAATGAAATATTCTCTATTGCCTTTAAATTATCACTCATTG